GAGAGAGAGAGAGAGAGAGAGAGAGAGAGAGAGAGAGAGAGAGAGAGCGCAGAATAATGTTTGTTTCTGCAACTACACAGATCTGGTACCAGGCACAGAATACGGAGTTGGGATATCTGCGGTCATGAACTCAAAACAAAGCATTCCTGCTACCATGAATGCCAGGACTGGTAAGTACAAGAATGGAGAAGAAGATGGCTAGCCTGCAAGCATGTAAGGCTGAGGGCATATGGAGGCTAGTTCTGTCAGAATCAGACATGGGGTAGCCCTCCCAGGGAACGAGACCCTGTTGAAAACCCTTGCCTAGTATCAGCATCTACCCTGTGTCTACCCTGACAGCTGAAGTCCCACCCTGTCACCCCAGATCTGGGTTTGATCCACAATCTGAAGGATTGTGCAGAGAAGGTATGAAAACTCCCCACCAGGCTGATGCCAAAGGAGACAGCATTTCTGTCTAACCCCCCCTCACAACAGGCAGAATGTGTGTCCTTGGTCTGCGTTCCATGAACACTCAAAGAGGCCACCGCAATGAAGGCCTGCTTCCTATACAGTTCCAGAGCAGCAGAAAAAGTCCACTTAAGATTCTTACTACTCTGGATTCAGAAGCTTCCATTCCAAGTACCTGGGAAGTTTCAAAGTCACTCCAGTAAGCTTAAACATAAGCATCTGGGGCTGGGCAAGGCTAGGGGTTTGGACCAATCCCCATCCCCAAGATTCAGCCTAGCATAAATGAACTTGCTAGAGGAGCACACTTTCAAGAGTCTCAGAAGTCTTTAGACCTGTTCACTTGAGGTTAGGACAACCCAAAATAACCTCCGGGTCAGGGAGGAGAAGATGGGAAACTTAGTTGCTGTGAACTCTTCCTCCCACATGAGGCGGGCTCCTCTCTGCATGTTTGGCCTACCAAGGGGCAGTGAATAGAAACAAGTATAAAATGCTGGCAGGTCAGCACCTAGATCTATCCCAGTGGTGGATGTATTCCAGTATGTCGCTGCTACTACCCTCACTCTGCAGATTGTCCATCTGTTTGCCTGGCTCTGGCCATCAAAGGGGAGCTGCTTAGCAAAATATGAAAAGAGTAACAGCCGTGAGAGTCTACAGCTCATGGTCAGCAGGTCTAGCGACAGCCTGTAAACACACAGGGTAGTCCAGTAACCAGTGGCTGCCCTACAGAGCCAGGTTGAAGTAGGCTAACTGCCAAGTGAAGTGGTACATGCCTGAACCTCACCCTTGGGAGGCAGAGGCAAGAGGATCAGAAGTTCAGGATCAACCTCTGATACATAATGAGTTCAAGACCTGTCTAGTTCTACATAAGATCTTGAATGGATAAATAAATAAATGAAGCTTATTTTAATCTACAGAGCTTGACAGTCCCCGAGACCTTATGGTAACAGCCTCATCAGAGACCTCTATCTCCCTCATCTGGTCCAAGGCCAACGGTCCCATTGATCACTACCGAATTACTTTCACCCCATCTTCTGGGATCTCCTCAGAAGTTACTGTGCCTAGGGACAGGACTTCATACACTCTGACAGATCTAGAGCCCGGAGCAGAATACATCATCTCTATCACGGCTGAGAGGGGTCGGCAGCAGAGCCTGGAGTCCACTGTGGATGCCTTCACAGGTACCGGGGAAAAGACATCTCAGTGAGACTTGGCAATAAACAGATCCCAAAGTGAGATGGTCATTCAGAAGCCCCAGTCTGCCAAAAGAGATAACTAAAGGAGATGTGTAGGGGAATGAGGGGGAAAACTAAGACATGCATGGAAAGGAAATGTTTGGAAGTAAAGGGAAGGGGTGAGCGAGGATGCCACACGTCTGAAATCTTATGTTTGATTTTTTTTTTACAACCTAGACACAGTAGTTGGTTTGTCCATCTTGCCCTTCCTTCATTAAATCTGTGGGAATGCTAAAGCTCTATGATACATTTTGTTTGTCAAGTTAGAGGTTTCTAAATTTCGGGTCAGTGTTACAAATATTTCACAGAAATACTTCTAGTCTTCTTAGAACTGGCTGTTCCATATATGGCTTGGGAAGAATAGACTAGGCAGGACCAGAGTGTGGGGAGGTAGGCCCTTTGAGCCAGCCAGCAGGTGAGAGTGCAGCCCTCAATTACAAAGAAGGAAGTCAAGAGTCTCTTCTGCCCCATGACCTACGGCCACGCACGTGCTTCAGAGCAGCCAATCTTCTCTGCTTTGCAGGCTTCCGCCCTATCTCCCATCTGCACTTTTCTCACGTGACCTCCTCCAGTGTCAACATCACCTGGAGTGACCCATCACCCCCAGCAGACAGACTTATTCTCAACTACAGCCCCAGGGATGACGAGGAAGACACGATGGAGGTCCTCCTGGATGCCACCAAGAGGCACGCTGTCCTGATGGGGCTACAGCCAGCCACTGAATATATAGTGAACCTTGTAGCTGTCCATGGGACCGTAACCTCTGAGCCCATAGTGGGTTCCATCACTACAGGTGAGGCTGAAAGAGATGGTGAAGAGGGTTCTCACAGTAGCCTTTGACAAGCCAGTGGAATTTAAAAAGGGAAACATCAAGGAATAGCAAACTGAATCTATGGCTTACAGGCCTCTGTGAGTTATTCTGAAGCAGCTACTTCTCCCAAGGCTGAATAAGAGACTTACCATGAGAAACTCCCACTTGGAAAACAGGATAGACCCAATGCTTGGAGAGCTCAAATCGTAAATGCATTTGGTCCTAGATCTACCAACCTTGGAAGAAGCCCTAGAAAAAGCTAGTCTCCAAAGGAGTCCTTCTAAGTGAGAGATGGTGTTTCTGTTCTGGAGAGCCATCTCTTGACTGCCTAACAAGTGATTCCTCCTCAGAATCAACACGGAGCTAGCAAGCAACCACGAAGTGACCCGGCACTCAGAGACTGGTTGATTTTGCACAGCACTCTGAGATGAATTGGGTCATTTCCATTTGATGGCTTGCAAATGCCATCCCAAATATGATATGAGTGTACATAAAAACACTTGTGTTTAGATGGTTCCCTAGTACAAGAACTCACACATTGACAAAGTATATTATGTCATCAACTGATTCAACCCCACAATTTAAGTACGCACCACAAATAAAATACAACTTAGGAAAGTATATTTGTTTGGGATTTGTGCTCTGAAATCCCTCTACAGTTAATAGGTAGTTTTCCCACATTGAACCAAAGGTGGTTGAAAAAAAAAAAAAAAGACAGCAGCATTGAGTCTTTCCAAAAGAAGTCTCCCTCAGGGACGATAACTGTATAATTCCCTATTTGAAATATAATACAGGAACTTAAAAGGACGTTTCTGGTTGGTCTAGATAGGTAATAATTGTTGCACAGAAGCACAGATCTTCCCAACTTAATTCCTGTTGTTAGAATGTTCTGAACTGGCTTCAGCCATAGCTACAATGTTTCAGGTGAGACATCACACAACCAACCAATTAGGGATGTGCCATTAGTGATACAGGATTGTGCCTGCCTATGGGACACTACTGGATCAATGCAAACTAGGAGTAGAAATTCCATTTTCAAACTACGCTTCTGTCTTTTTCCCACAACTCCCTGATCTTTGTAGGAATTGATCCCCCCAAAAACATCACAATTAGCAATGTGACTAAGGACTCGGTGACGGTTTCCTGGAGCTCTCCTGTCGCACCTTTTGATTACTACCGTGTGTCATATCGACCCACACAAGGTAACAAAATGATTTTAATTAAACACAAATGAGGTCTGACGCTGGGTAGAGAGTAATATGGGGCTCCTATCACATCCACGGGACACTGGCATCTCTCTGCAGCATACTCCCTGAAAATGAGAGGGTGTCAGGAAAGAATGACTGGGGAACCATGGATTCACCACCTCCTCTCAAAATAGGCTTGGTTTACATGACCGTGGAAGTCAGACACTTAACCAGTGGAAGTGACTGGACACCATTAGCTAAACTGTGCAATGAGAAACAATGAACCTTAAAAGACTTCGCCTGGAGCTGGGGCTACATGTGCTCGCCTGAGCATAAAGTCTAAGGCTAGAATTCAGGACATGGATGGAGGCCCAGCAGAGCCATATGGAGCCCTGGAGGGGACCACAGTGATGTGATCTTAATCCTGCCGTTGTAGCCAATATGTGAGTCAGAGAAGTTGACTGAGACCTTGCGCGCACAGTGCCAGCTCTTGCTGGTTCATGAGGCGTTGTTAACAGTGAGCAAGGCATGCCACTTCCCGCTGGGTAGGACAGTTTTCCAGGCTACCTTTCTCTGGGCTGCATAAGCACTTTTTGCAGCTCTGCCCACTACACTGCCTTGATAATGATCACCTCGGAAAAGACCAGTCTGTTAGAAACCTACATAGTAAATAATTCACTTACTTTTGTTCTAAGGAGCCAATAAAATGAAAGAGCGAGGCCAGCATATAAGATTTATTTAAACGCCACCATTACCATCTTATGAATTATTGATCTGCTTTCCCTATTGCATGTTGAGCCCACATCCATCTGTGCTTCATGACCCAATGTCCCAATGCACACTGAGCCATGGGCCCATGGATGAGAGTGCTGTTCAACTTCTAACAATGGGTTTTGTTCTTCTTCAGTGGGACGGCTGGACAGCTCCGTGGTGCCCAACACTGTGACAGAGTTCACCATCACCAGGCTGAATCCAGCTACTGAATATGAAATAAGCCTCAACAGTGTGAGGGGCAGGGAGGAAAGTGAGCGCGTCTGTACCCTGGTGCACACAGGTAAACATGGCTCCCTTGTCGAGTGTCAGGTCAGGACACAAGCAGCAGGTTTGAAACAAACACAGGAAGCAGGGTGAAATTATTCCAGTTCATATAGCGGATATCGGCTCCAGGGCCTGAGGCATCATTTCTTGGTCTCCTCTGACTCACCATGTCCTGCAGGACAAGTTGTGATTTCTCTCCCCAGACTGTCTTGTCTAATTATAGGAATTAAGTGAGTCACACTTGAGGAGCCTTGCTGCTTTAGGTTAGGAATTTCCGTGGAATTTCTACTCTGAAGAGTGCCCTTCAAAGACGCCTGCTGGAGACACATTCTGCAGCGGACATTTGGATAACAGGATCTCTTTAAGACTTGGCGGTGGGGAGGGAAGAACCTCAGGGAAGTGTTGTTATTTCAGTTACAGGAAATCGGGGGTGAGATTATTCATCTTAGATAGTCACCCTGTGCCTTTGCTTTATGCTCCAAGAAAAAGGTTCTAAATCCTTCACTCGTACAAAGGCACTGAGGTGAGGTTGACCCAACATAACATCCTCAGTCACCAATAAGAACACTATATAGTCCCTGTCCTTTTATAGGCTATCTAATCAGATCCAAGTATCCCCTGTGTCCCCGGCCCCTTCACAGAGGAAGCTACAAAGGAAGGAAGGTGGGGGAGATAGAACATTTTACAATATTGGAAAGTAGGAAGAGAAGCCCCCTTTCCATGCCTTCTTCATAAAACTAGCTCTTTGGATAAGCCTGGGAGCAGGCTCCCTTTCAGCAGCTCCCCTAACCTTTCCTCTCTGGTCCTTAAGCAATTTTATTGGTAGAGTCAGCAAAGATTTCTATAGATGTCACTGGAAGCCACAACCATCAGTTTACATCCTCGACATAGAGAACAGACCTTCTAGTTAAAGCGTAGTTTCTACATGTAGGAAAACATTCAGCCTGCCTCATTAAGAGAACACCTGGATTTCCCGACACCTCTTAATTTCCCTGGAGATGGTGTTTCCTGGAGGAGGGAAATGTGCCTAAGAATTTCTCACTGCTTTGTAGATGCTCTCACAATCGCTGTAATGGCATCTTTACACAGTGGCAAACATGTCTTTCAGAAACATAAAGCAGCCTTCTCAGGACAGCACAGGGTGTTCTGACCGCTCCTACCCTTCCTCCTTCCAGGTCTATGACTATAGAGGCATGAACTATGGTTTATCATTCAGTCTGGTACTAATCCTCTAATTATCTGTGATTATTAAAGCATCTGGTTAATAAATGTTGATCAGAAGTAATGTCCACTGAGCCAAGAAAGCCCCTTTCGTGCCCTCCTGACATCCATATTTTCTCATTAAGAATCATAAAATGGATTTCTAGAGCATCTTGCTCCCATGATAAGAGGGATGTGACTGGGCCCAAAGGCTAACTCCTGGCATTCTTGGCCAGCAAACATCTCAAAAGCAGAAACTTTGCAGTGCATCAAGTCACATGGCCCTCCTTCAAGTTAGTAAGGAACTGTGCTATACTCAAGTGTCTTGGTTTATTGCTTTAAAGTAGTCACGATGATCTTAAATCTTTCAGAAATGAGAACCTCTTCAAAGCACCATCCACACCTCAGAAATCTCCCAACTACACTCTAGTAAGAACAGCATTTAAAGAGGTTTTTGAAAGCACAGATTATAGATAAAATTCAAAACATTAAATTATAAGGGCTTTTGATCGCTACTTTATGATGAGAACAAGCAAAAAGGAGAGAGAGAGAAAAAAACACCAAATACAGCTCACTTAAGTACAGAACATGGGTAGACTAATAGTGGAATTTGGTTCCCAAACATAAATTGTATGACTCAGATTGAATTATCACTTAAATTATTATAATAGCATCTACTTTATAAATCAATTCCAACCTTATGAAAAGGATACACATAAGTGAATCCAAGAGTTACAGGACAGGTGAGTAAAATCATAATCCATTCACAAGCAAACTTTCTTCCCCTGATAGGCACTCTTGGCTCCCCTAAGCGTGTGTGAATCCCCTAGGTTCTCTATGCACCAAAAAGGAAGCCCTGAACACAGTCGAAAGTGAAGCTTGTCAATGGTGACGTAAGAATTCAGGAAATTGATATGATTCTGTGGCCGAGCTATTGGTGTGGGTGCCCTGCACTTCCTCCACACTTCCTGGGCTTCACAGAGATCCTTTCCACAAAGGTCAGCCTTGCATATGTAAAAGAACAAGTAGACTGGAAAGCAGAATTATCCCAGTTACTAAAGAATCATAACATTTTCAATAGCTTCTTCACACCATCTAGATTAAAATATCTAAAATACAACAGAAAGTATTTCAAATTTTCTACTTCCCATTGGACCTGTCAAAGAATTCTGCACAAAATAAATTACCAAGTTAATTTAAAAGAAGGCTTTATGGCAATTAGGAGAGAAGTGGATACTAGAAAAGGGGAGAAAGAAAGGGATGGATGAATGGAGCCAGACAGGTAGAAAAAGAATCAGTCTGCACTCCAGAAGTTTTATCCAGAAGAGTGACAGATATGGCACCATATGGGAAAATTCTGATGGTTCATGGTACTTCTACCCTGCAGTTGCTCTTTCTTTAACCTGACACTCCCCTGTTCTGTTTCAGCCATGGATAGCCCTACGGATCTGACTGCTACCAACATCACCCCCACAGAAGCTCTGCTTCAGTGGAAAGCACCCATGGGTGAAGTGGAGAACTATGTCATTGTCCTCACACACTTTGCCAGTGAGTGTCTATGGGTGGGGGTCGTAGGGACTGGAGCTGTAAGCCAGTATGGAAGTGAAGAACTAATTTATTTTTCCCATCTGAAAGTCCAATCAGAATTTACCTCAGGTTGGGGAAATTATGTAGTTCCCAAGCTGTATAAAGTCCTCAAGAAATCCCCCAACTCCTGTAAACAGTTGATAAGAATCACACAAGCCCAGTCTGAAAGGCTCAAGGAAGGGGAGCAACCAAGAACAAACACAAAATCCAAGCTAACAGTGGGAAGACAAAACTTAGAATTGAGCTAAGATTTTTCACCAAAGGGCTGCAGATAAAAAGAAGTTTCTAGAACAGCAGTTCTCAACCTGGGGGTTGGGAGGCCATTGGAGATAGAACAACCCTTTCGCAGGGGTCGCCTAAGATCATCATAATACGTAGATATTTATATTACAATTTACAACAGTAGAAAATTACAGTTATGAAGTAGCAATGAAAATAATTTTATGATTTTGGGTCACCACAATATGAGGAACTATTTTAAAGGATCACAGCATGAGGAACTGTTTTAAAGGATCACAACATTAGGAAGGTTGAGAACCAAAAGTTACAGGAGGATCAAACTTGGCAGAGATAACATGCTAACAGGTGTCTTAGTTATGTTTCTATTGCTGTGAAGAGGCACCATGATGGTGACAACTCTTAAAAAGAAAAATATTTCATTGCAGTGGCTTTCATTGCAGTGGCTTACATTTTTAGAGGTTTGTTTATTCCTTTAGCATCACGGCAGGAAGCAGGGTGGCACACAGGCAGACATAGAGCTAGAGAAGGAACTGAGTGTAACATGAAGGGGCCTGATTGTTGGGATTTATGTCCTGCCTGGTTCCCCACAGCCGGCAAGCCCCAAAGAAAATCACACAAAGATTTCCATAAGTTATAAAACTGACTGGCCCATTAGCTCGGGCTTCTTATTAGATCTTATAGCTTATATTAACCCATTGTTCTTATCTATGTTAGCCACATGACTCGGTACCTTTCTTAGCCTGGCAGCTTACATCTTGCTTCTTCCGTGGTCTGAGCAAGACTGGGAGGAATGGGCTTCCTTCTTCCTAGAATTCTCCTGTTCTCATCACCCCGCCTCTACTTCCTGTCTGGTTGACCCACCTATACTTCCTGCCTGGCCAATCAACGTTTATTCAAAATATGGTTGACAGAATACAGACAATTCTCCCACACCAGCTGAGAGCTCTTACATCTTGACTCGCAGGCAACAGGGAATGATCTGAGACCCTCGGTGGTATCTTGAGCAAATATGAGACTTTGAAGCCTGCATTCACAGTGACACACTTCCTCCAACAAGGCCACACCTCCTAATAGTGCCACTCCTTTAGGGGGCCATTTTCTTTCAAAGCCACCACAACAGGTAGACAATTGATTTAGAACTGCTAAGCAATGTGTCTGTTGTACTGGCTGTACATCCGGCACAAAAATTTGAATATCAGTGCTGTTTTCATCATACTCACTGACTAGAGAAACTCAAAGCAAAACAGAAGCATATTCCAAATATCTAGGCTTAGGGAAATTTTTTCTTGTCCAAAATTAAACATATGATAACAGAATTATTTGTGAATTATATTCAATAATCTAGGGAACAAAGATACCAGAGAACAGAAGGCAGGCAGATGACTTGGTGTTCAGAGATGGAAGAGAAAGCCAGTTCTACAAGCTGCAAAGAATCATTTGTCATCAAAGTTGGGGAAGATGAAAACTAACACACACTATCGAACCAAACAGAAACGGCATTAGTCAGTACTATGTACCAACTCAGGATCACAGAGCCTCCTAGTTGATTTCAAGTTGTTTTGGCTTTGCAATTCTATTAGCACATTTACATTTCAGCGCAGCGTTAGAAAGCTGAAGATCATTTTGTCTTTGATCGAGATGAAAAAAACACATGATAAACCATGAGTTTGAGTTGATCAGAACTATAGCTGATCGCATAGTCCTTTCAAAGAAAGATACCATGGATACATCCCAACCCCTCTATGCTCTTGCCAAGCCCTTCTCAACTCCTACTGTCCCTTGGTGTGTATCATGGTCCTGCACTTCTTAAATCTGCATACCTTTCTAAGCCTTCAAGTCTCTCTGCATTTGCCCATGCGCCATTTTCTTCATCAGGAACTTCTCTCCCCAAGAGTCAACCTAGTAAGTCCGTCTTTCAGGTCTTAGCTGCAGCCCTATCTTTTCTGACAAAGTATCCTCCATTCCCCCAAGGCAGTCAACACACCTGCTCACAATGACAAGGCATACAGTTCCATCCTCTCCACTCACCAAATGCTTTTGATAACCTCCCATAGGCTATGTACTCACTAAGCCTAGAAAAGCTCAGAAGCAATGCTTGTGTTCTTATCATTATGGAACTTACCTCTAGTGATGATGCAGACAAGTAAATACAGCCTGGCATGAGCTGTGGCATGAACTATGCAAGTAGTGAGCTATACCCAATGGGCCGCCATAATTTAGAATCAGGGTATTGAGGGGAAGAAAGGAACACGATCTCAGAGAAAGTAAAAATGATGAGGGAATTCTAAGGAAACATACAGCCTTCCTGTATTTGGAGAGAGATGAGCATGTAGGACATGCCATAGTTTAGTTGAGTAGAGCACTGAGATGGCAGGATATCACAAAGTAGATAGCAAAAGGATGGCCATGATGTACATTCTTCTAAGGAGTTTTATGTTGTTTTCAAAGGCATCTTTATATGCCTCATTTCGTTTGTCTTTAGATCACAACAAACTTCAAGCATCAGGTCTGACCTAGTTTGGAGCTGTACCTAATAAACTTTGTTAAATGCTGAATGATTCAGAAATATTCTAATTGTCTAACAAAGGGCTTGGCTCTGAACTAATGAACAGTTTTATTAACAGCTTGAGTGAGCCCCGAGAAGATGTGCTTACAAAACTTGTATATAAAACAAAACCGTGATTGATTGAATCCACATTAAAAATGTTTTAATAAACTGAAGCCGTGATCCAAAAATTCAACCAAGGTGAAAGATGATGGAAATACAAGCAAAACTCAGCCCACAGGTCAAAATGATCAACCAAGGCAGTGGTGATAAACAAAGTCATTGATTGATAATAAATTCAGCTTGTAATGGCAATGATGCATGGCTGTCCTACAGCCTGGTGTAATACAAATAGCAGGCATAGAAGCGGGCTGACCCTGTTTACACCACTGATCAGTGGCACCGATTCTTGTTCTCAGTTCTCTCCCAAGATCTGCATTTCAGCAAAGAGCTTGATGAACTTTCTTGTCCAGAGAGAAGCAGTCAGGACTATGGGAACGTTGGAGTTGTCATATAAATGTAATGAGAGGCAGGGGCTGAATATTCATGGGATAAAGGAGGGAACACTTGATGGGGAAAGTGGATGGAAGGAAACAGTCAAATAAACAAGGACTCTTCTTACTCTCTGATTACAGAGACCTGAGTAGAAGGTAGAGACACAGTGTGGCCTCCGTGTACAGAATAGTCTTTCTGGAGAGTAAAAGATAAAAGGGGACCTTGTACAGAGCAGTAAACTCCATTAACGTGTAGTTCTCCCAGAATTCTCGGATATTACATCCGTGTGAAATGCCTTTAGACATGATAGGTCTTTCCTTATCTGTATGGATCTGATTTCAGTTGCAGGAGAGACCATCCTGGTTGATGGAGTCAGTGAAGAATTCCAACTTGTTGACCTGCTTCCTAGCACCCATTATACCGTCACCATGTATGCCACCAGTGGGCCTCTCGTGAGTGGCACCATTGCCACCAACTTCTCTACCCGTGAGTACAAGCTCCTGCATGGCTGGTATAAACCCTGCAGGATTATGTGGAACCAAAAAAAAATGATAGTTCCTTGTAATGGAGTAGGTAATAAGCTATAGGTTTTTGGTGATCCAAAGATGATTCAATTGAATGTGGTACAGATACTGTATTGCTATCAATTAGCACTTATGTCTCTACATCCAGGATCTAGGTGACAAGAGCAGAGCCATACAAGAAAATCTGGTACTAGACTATATCTGGTAAGGGAAACTCTGAATATTAGAAAGCTCGATATGGTAATGAGGAGCTGTTGGGTAAAATCATGACCGGAACATTAGGACAAAAGAAGATACAAGGTGGCTACAAATTCAAGTAGACCATGGTTAATGGATTTAGGAGCCTAAGCATAAAGAGTTGTACTGGAAGATGCCATGCCTAAGCTCAGCATCCTGCTTGTGGGGGTGGGAGTCACTTCAAAGAAGGACACTAGCACCCTTTATGTTCCCATGCAAGCCAGAACTAGAGTCGGCACAGGGGCAGCCCTGTGAGCAAGATTGCCATGCCTGAAGTCAAACAAGGAAGAGCTGGAGAGATAAAGACATTCTGGCATTTTCTCTTCCTCGCAGTCCTGGACCCTCCTGCCAACCTGACAGCCAGCGAAGTCACCAGGCAAAGTGCACTGATCTCCTGGCAACCACCCAGAGCAGATATTGAAAACTATGTCTTGACATACAAGTCCTCCGATGGTAGCCGCAAGGTAAGTATTAGCTGGAAAGAGGAAAACTCTTTATTCCCATATGAGGTCATGTGGAAACTGGCCAGTCGAATGACCCATGGAAACTGCAGGGATGGAGAAGGAACCAATTCACAGGCAACCAATGGGATTCCAGATCCTGGATACACAGCCTACGACGGAGAAGAGAGCCCAGGTTTATAAAGCAGGAAATGCCAAGCTGTGGCTTTGCTATTGCTCACTGCCCATACTGTGGTAAAGCAGTAGCCCTCTCTCAGTGCCGGTGTCCTCTCTGGATCATTACTAGGTGTGGTGGTGCTCTGGGCATCATGGTGACAAAACATGACAAGCTCCTAATCCTGTGTTATCAGAAGCACACATGAGGCAGATAATAAACCCAGAGGCCTTTATGCCTTGATAAACATCATAAAAGCACCATCTCTGTAGCCTACAATAATGAGATGATACATTCTGGTTTTGTGTCGTCGGTCTAAGCGATCCACCAGAAGAGCACTAGCGGGCAAACCTTCTCTTGCAGTGTGACCCTTTAAAAAGTGAAAGTCATATATAAAGTCAAATCTAGATACCAAGCGAGGTAAAGCAAGTCTGTTGGTGGTGGTAGAGAGGTCTAGGGTTCTGCTTTCTCAGCTGCTTCTCCTCCACAGTAAGCCCAATGCAGCCTGAAGCCACTGACTCAATAACTCAGGTACCTAAATTTATCCGATGTGCATTTGTGAGATAGGAGCCCTAAACCTCACGTGGGAGTTACACCCCCCCTCCCCCATCGGCAGTTTTCTCCTTACTGTGGGATGGAGAAGGCGGCATTGCTGACCTAGCTTCCCTACTGTCCCCCCACCCCCGGCTTTCTTTATTCTTGCCCTCTGCAGGAGCTGATTGTGGATGCTGAGGACACGTGGATCCGACTGGAGGGCCTGTTAGAGAACACAGACTACACAGTGCTCCTGCAGGCAGCTCAGGAAGCCACAAGGAGCAGCCTCACCTCTACTGTCTTCACCACAGGTGAGGGACTTGGCGGCACTTGGATGCCTTCTTCTCCCTGCATGGCGCCTGCCTCCTCAGCACCTCTGCTGAGCCCTGGCCTGGAAGGAGCCTATTAAAAACACTCAGCTTCCTCTTCCTTCCTTCCATCTTCCCAAGGCCCTGCCAGAAAATCCCCACCACTGAGGTGATCATGGAAACATCAGCCCAATCAGTGGTCCATGTGGACCAACTACGGGCACCAAGTAGAGATGTCAGTTTGCTTCTCATTCCCAATTTTGTGCCTGTTTCTCTACAAAAAGTCTTCTTTCTTTCTCTGTCCTTCCCTTGATGACTGTCCTCAGTAGCACTTCTAGTAAGCGTAACAGCATAAACCTTCAGTACTGAACTTCACACACCCTCCCACTTTTGCAAGCACAAAGTTCTTTTATGCATTCAGTGTCTCACTCAATCGTTTAAACCACTGCTAATGCCATTTTAAAGGGCAGGAATATGAGTTAGCACGTAACTCAGTGGCAGAGCATTTGCTTAGCATGCATGAGGTCCCAGATTCAACTCCAACGCCACAAAATAAAAATAGATAGATGGATGGATGGATGGATGGATAGATGGATGGATGGATGGATGGATAAAAATAAAAAGCCCAGGAATAGGAGTGTGGCTTAATACAATATTTTTACCTAATATGTTCAGGTCCTAGGTTTGATTCCTGGCTCTACAGAAAGAAGAAAAAGAGAAGGGTTTCCGAAATCAAAACCTCTGTCATGGTTTTCTGGCAAGCACTATCCTAAACACATTATGTACATTATTTAACAGTATTTAATTTCATCTTCACAATAGCCTCTGTCCTATAGACTATTACCTCTATTTTATTTGTTTTACAGGCAAGGAAAGTAGGGTACAACAGAAATGAGAGCACTCATTCAAGATTCTATGGCTTTTAAGTTAGACAGCTGAGATTTGACTCCAAACAGTCCAGCTCTGGATGTGAACTGTTAATTCTGCTTTCTGACACCTCCCTGGCATCCCCTTTTAGTCTGTGATGAGTAACTCCCCAACCAGCCCAGACTTTTGACTTTCACGTTTTAGGGATAAGGGTATATCCATCAGTGGGACCACTATGAGCATATTCCTCATCCCTAAACCCTGGTTTCCTGAATTTCAGAGTACCAGGATGACTGGGTCCTCCTCCCATGTCCCAGAGCCTGCCCTTCATCTCAAAAGAAGCAATAGAAATCACCCCCTACTTCCCTTTTCTCGCTATAGTCATTCTAGACAACAAAGAGCTGGACAGTGAAATAATAAGTCCCTTTCCATTGTTTTTAATACTTTTCAATACTTTAAACAGTGTCTCCAATGAGTTCATTAGTCAGAAGCAAATATTTTAATGGGAAAATAAAAATAAACTGCTCACAGAACCAAGACATGAATCCATGACATATTCTTACCAAGTGGAACTTAGAGAATGCTTGATGTCTCTTCTGAGGCTGAAGTTTATTTTTGCAATCTCAAAGATACCTTATTAAGAACTAGGGTGTTACCTCTTGTTCAAACTCAGCCCTGCACATTCATAGGCTAATTAAAGGGTCCTTTATGAAGCCACCACTTAGAGACCCGCTGGGAGGAGTTTTCTGCTGAATTAAGAATTCTTTCAGCATAAAAAGAACACAGCTAATAGATGCACAGATCTCCCAGTTTGCACGTTTATTGGATTAAAGGAATCATTTTGTCACCCACATGCTCAGTGTTAGATGAGCTTTTCATTCTCATCCTGCTGGTGTCACAGTTGGCAGGAGTGAGCAGTGTATCGAATGCCTGAAGTTTCTGTGGTATCTGCAGCTACAGCCCCTTTCCAGATCCCTCTGGACTGAGAAGTATATCGAATGCCTGAAGTTTCTGTGGTATCTGCAGCTACAGTCCCTTTCCAGATCCCTCTGGACTGAGAAGTGCAACAGGTTCTGTGACCATCACTGCCTTGTCTTAGATGCAATAGTTTGGATGTGGGACTCCAGATCTAGCCAGGGTCTTGGGAGGATTAAATGAGGTAATTGACGATTTACTTGGCAATCCGGAGAGGAAGCTGGCAAAAGACTTGGTTTGATGGGCAGTTCACGTGACTGTGGGTGTCTATTTAGGTTGGTTTGTTGTTCTTACAGGACTCAAGTTGACAATGGGCTCCTTAAACATATTCAATGTCAAGTCATAAAAAAAAAGAAAGAAAAGGAAAAAAAAAAACTGAAGAGCCCAACTTCTATTCCGTGAATATAGCTACCAACCGAGCTACTCATTACATATAGAGTTTAGGGTACCAGCAATGAACTCACCACTACCCCCTAATATGTAGCAAAAGAGTGCCCAGGTTTGGGAGTTGCAGTTTTAAAGCTGAAATTTAAGTCACAGATGCATCCCCAAACCTGCTGGCTTTGTTTAGGAGATTTATCAGAACCCACTGAGACACTTAGATGCTGAGTGAAAATTTCTTGGGTAAGAAATAATGTATGACCAAGTCCCATGGACAAAGCCTGGTATATTCAGATATGAGAAATGAACTGAAGAGTTAAATCTCAGCTTCAGAGTGCAGAAGTAGAGGTCTTGTGATAAAACAAAACTGAAGAAAAGAGAACCAAGATTCTTAATACCCTATGCAAGGATGCTACAAAGGTGTGCAGTTTGCAGAGTATGAAGGCCAAAGTCCCCCTCTAATGTCAGGTTCTGTCTGCCTCCACAGTACAAATCTTCCAGGATACATCACACAGGGCTGCATTGTCATTGGCCAGTTAATATTCATAATTAATTACTTCCTGCCACAGTCCCTGTCCCCTGCCAAGAGGAAATTTTATCAGAGAAGAGAATATAAGTACATTTGCTTACTAAAGGTGGGGGTGGGGAAAGTGCCAAAAAGGGAAAGTAGTCAAAGTAGAAAACGGAATATCTTTACCCAATCCAAGACTGAAAGGGTTGCTTGTCTAGACCCCATGGGCATAGGCTAATCCTGCTGAGCAAGTCTGGGGGACACTGAAAGTCCACATGACAGTACAGCAGGGCTGAAAGAGTTGGAGGCTAATTTCCTTTATCCGCTAGCATCCTTTCAGCTTAATTGACAGCATCTGCACTTTCCACTTAGCATCATCCTATTCTGAGGATGCACTGATTGTGTGAGTTTTCTGTGCCTTCTCTGATGGACAACAGAGCTTAAAGTTTGGCTTCAAAGTAGCCTCCATCACTGGCAAACATTCATCTCGCCCTGGGGTGACCAAGATAAAGGAGTCACTCAAGCAGGTGCTTATCTAATGGTCTGGGAAATAGTTGAGATGCTAATAATAATAATAATCAATATTTTTTCCTTTTCCTTTTATTGAAATTAGTTTTTTCTCACATAATATGTCCTGATTATAGTTTTCCCTTCCTTTACTCCTCTCAATTCCTCCCCGTCATCATTATTATAGAACAGATCTGGCCTCAAAACCTCCTTCGATCAAGATGCCTTTTCTTAGGATCATACCACACAACATGAGCCCATTCCAATCTTTCCATCATGTTAATAGCTTCCTGTCCTCTTGTCTCTGGTGTTTGCACAAGGCTCCGGGGGGAATTATATACAAGTCGTATGGGAGAGAAAAAATATGGATACATTATTTATAATTTGCTGTCTCCTGAAATTTCATCCAAGGTCTACTTGTCTTTTAGAGACATGAATTTAAATGAGGAAACAAATCTATTCCCCGCAGAGCCACAGGGACTTGGTGAAATGATCTTCTGAGAGGCGGATTTCATTGTCTCTTTTAATACTATAAAAGGCAAACAAGACTCTCGGTAAAGCTCCTCCTCAGAGACAGTGAACACTATAAAAGGGTTGCCTTGACCTTGAGGTTAAGCGAAGAGGTAGCTAGAGAGGAGTAATGAGGAGGTTGATGTTTTGTTTACTTTGCTTTTGTATTTTTATTCTTTTTTTTATTGCCTTTGCCCCCCCTGCTATCTCCCTTCCAGGTCAGGCTGCTCTGTGACTCTCTCCAGGAAAACTCTGGGGTCTCCTTTGACATAAAATTCAGTTTTTTTAAGTTGTAAAAATGAGTGAAAATTGGCAAATCCTAGACTCCAACACAGTGAGTAGTGGATTTTAGAAAAACACGTGGTTACCAGAATTTCTACTGGAAAGGGAAGCCTGTGTTACCTACCTGTGTTACCAGGGCACCCTCTGCCTCTACTTCACCCAGGAGCTGCGGGATTTCCCACTGCTCTGCCACTTAAAAAGGGGCAGGGGGACAGGGCAGGCAGACAGAGACACACACAGAGGGAGGTCTGCCTTCGCGCTCCTCTGAGATTTGGCTGTGGAGAAGGAACTGGCACCCTAATCATACCATAAGAGTATACCTTCCCAAGCATGTCTAAATGTCAGATCAACGGCTTGTATTAATCAAACTGTCCACTTTATTTTGTGTTATCAATATCAGCCTTCAACGAGGTTGTTTGTATTCGCTCATTGATTTTCTTTGGCCCCAGATCTTTTTCTGTCTTCCATAGACAGCCATCCCAACACATCGAATGGGTACCCTTTGAAAAACATATTCTTACAGAATTGTTTTGATTATGAATGATTTAAATGTGTGTAAGGTGTTTTGTTTATAACTCATTACAAATGTTTGCACTTGAGCACTTTTAGATTCATCAGTCTTTTACTTCTAATTATTGTAAAATATTACTTGATGTGTGCCTATCACATTTGCCTTTCCACTCTCTCAAAGACGGGCATCAAATTGTCTCCAGCCTTTCACAATCCCAAATAGTGCTGTAGTATACATCCTCAATGTATCCACCTATGGGCCAGCGAAGCGTGCAGAAAATGAATGGCTAGGTACAGGGTATGTGCTTATATGGTTTAAGTGCTTACAGATTGTGTACACAGGAATGCCCTTGTTCTCTGGGAGCACACATCAGTCCTGATGACTTGACACAGTCCAGCCTTGTCCAGCCTTGGAATTTTTGACAGTCAAATAAGATTGATTCATTGTTCTTGGTAACAG